TCCGTTCAGTTTATTCGGTATAAAATCAATGATTAAGTTCGGAACTTACTAGTAACTGTATTCATAGATAAAGACCGCGGAATATTCAAAATGATAATTATGAACATGGAGTTAGTCACTCATACTGCGCTCTGATTGGCTACTCTTCTAATTTGTGATCACTCGCGGGAAAATCAAAATGGCGGCATCTCATTAATAAATTATTTTAAGGATATTTCAATTTGTTTTCATTATTTGACCGATTAGTATGTTTATAATAAAACAATGAGACCTCTCAGCCTCATGGACTACGAGCTAATAGCCCATTCGGCCTGGCGGACTCGGCCTCATGGTCTATTAGCTCGTAGTCCACTCGACCTCGAGGTCTAATTGTTAATTAGGTGTATATACCTATTTCAAAAAAAAAGGCAAAAAAAAAAGGTTGTAGGAAGAAATGGCGAATTGGAAATCTCACAATTTTATTCTCACAATTAGGAATATTTTGCACACAAATGAGACTAACACAGAGCATTGGAGAATTCGAAACTGGATTATTCTCCCCGACATTTGTTAAAATAGGTGTATGCTAGATGACACATGGATAGCACCAATCATTGAATCACAGCGCGAAAATTTACTTAAATATTATGTATAATGTTCTCTCCCTTGCGTGTGCATTTTGTAATAGAAATAAAAATAGCTACAATGGCCCCTTGCAAACTCATATTGGCATGATATAGAAACAAAGACCTGGAATTTAATTCATGCACGAMAGTCTTGCATCGTTGGAGTAATGGACTGCAATTATATTTTACCGCTATTTTTTACCCGACATACATTACAACGAAAGGGTATAAAAGAGACTGCGACAGAAACTCTCATTTCAAACAAGTAGACGTGTTTTGGATGGTAACCTGTTTTCTCTGACAATTGATCACCAATACTGGTAAGCCGCATAGCTTTAGTCATGACACATTTCTATTCGACCTGTACTTAACTAGTCGTTATTGGCACAAGTAAACATCGGAGATTTGTTAATTACCTAGGTAGCTTGTCATAAAGTACACTTCCTACAAGTAGGATATTTCGATAATCGAGCTAAAAATTGAAAAAAAAGCTAGGCCATGGGACTTTGTAGAAGTCTTATCATAATTGCTAACCTCTTGAATTCAATTTGCACCGAATTTAGTTGACGCACGGATTTTCTTTTTCTTTTATATAGTTTTAAAGAAAATGACTTTAATATCTTTATTCAGATATCAAAATGAAACATTTTGTGGTGCTGTGTCTGGTTTTGCTGGTTGCATTTACCGTTGAATCCCGTTCTCACTACGAAGAAGATGTGGAAGAACTTTGGAAACGCTTGGCCATCGAAAAGAGATGCGCCGACAGATACGAGAGTTGTGAAACAGTTAAGTGCTGTGAACCTGCTGCTGTTTGCTCAAAGGGCGCGGATCTCAAGAAAATCTGTTTCTGGTGATAGAGGAGGTTGTAGAATCCGTCAACTGCGTACATGATNGGTAAAATCAAGATATTTTTGCAGCATGACTTACTGCAGTTGTCAGTAAAAATGATATAATATAATTATATTTCATTTGAAAGTAACCTTTAAATAATATATAGACCCCTTGCATGTGACGTCAAAGCAGYTTCATCTGGAGGACAAAACAAAAGATTTTTATCYTCTTGGGAACTAGATTCCATTGTTTTGTCCTCCAGTTGGAGCTGCATTCCCATGAACTGCAAGGGGTCTATAGATTTGAAAGCTGTCAGAGGTTCAAACCACATTTCTTCAAAAAATCCATCTTTTAAGCACAAAAAACTCACCTTGATTCAAGATTATAATACGTGATTTTTTGATATCTTGTTTCATGTTTTCAGGGGCTACTTGCAGAGATTTTTAGAAATATTTTTATTTCAATGTCAGAAAAGTTGAAAACAACATACAATAATCTGCGGCAATAGTTCAAAGCGTATTTTCAAGGAGCTTTTTTCAAAATGCCCTATCAATTGAAAACAAGTTAAATTCCAGGGCTTTTAGAGTATTGCATTTTGAAGAGTAGCATAATTAAACACTGTGCATTTGAACATTACATCTCTTTTTTGGAAAAAATCAAAGTTACCACAACTACTAAATTGAAATTGTATGTTAGATTTACCTTGCAGTTTTTTCAAGACTGCTACCTCCATTTTCAGAACCTGCTTGGATTGGTGAACAGATTCCACCTTCATTGCTATGTTCTCTTGGGAAACCAAGTCAACACCCTTGTATATATCTCCTATAAAAAGTTACATGAAATATAGCAATCAGCCAAACAATAATATGAATGAAGAATGCAATAATCACTTAATACTGTGAAAAAATTCCCTCACTTTAACCTTAAAGTTTGCAATTTTAGATAGTGTTTTTTAGTTGTTTTTTATTTATTTTTTATTTTAATTTAAGAAATCAATGCTGCTTTCTTATTGCTCAAATTAAAAAAAGTTGCTCAAAGAGCGTATGTGRTTATTTAAATATAATTTTTATTTGGTCCTCAAAATAAATAATATAAATTAAGTTTAAAATATTCAAGTCTACTTACCAAATCCTCCACCACCAATCTTTTTGGTCTGAAATTAAAAATAATACAAAAATCATCAMAGCTTCTAATAAATATCAATCCACTTTTCTCAGGTTCTGGTAAAAGTGCATCTGATTACCACACAACAAATATGATTTATCTAGATATTAATGAAATGCAGCATTTCATAGTCATTTTAGCCTTTCACACCYGAGAAAGAGACTGGACATAAATGCAGTGGAACCTAGACTTTTTATTAATTAAACAACCCTCTTTTTAGCTGTCACCATCCATTAAGCATTCACACTGAATTTGATCTCCCAAAAGTCCACTCTCATATAGTATATTAATATATTTTTTTGCAAATTTAACATGACCTCTATCAAATGGTAAACCTCTATATTGAGTGCCACCTGGTTTTTCTCCAAGGTGACCACTTAATAATAGAGGTTCAACTGTAATTATCAATCAACCATTTTGTTTATATTTATTTCTCAAAATCTGACAAAAAAACAGCCGGAAGACCACCAATATTTCATTTTGTTTTATTACAAAAATCAGGTAATATTTAGATGTACAGTATGGGGTGCACACTTTGACATCATGATCTTCAATCATACCCACTTCTTTGCTTGGAAATAAAAGCTTACAATTTGTGATTGTCAGAATTAATAATTAAAGACTGGATTCTTTAAACAAAGCAAGCCTAAAGATGCATGCCAAGGATTAAACATTTAMATCATGTTGCTTGTCAGATTTTTGAATTGTGGACATAATTTTATTGACAATATTCCTTTTGTACGTTTATTAATTTTCAGGATTTTTCTCTGTACTTACCTTTTTAATTAGTTACTGACAAAATCTGATAAAAAAGTTCTGAAAAAGCATCGAACATTCAGACGAACATTTAGATCCAAAATGAAAACAAAAACATGAGAGAACAGCAAACTAAGACCACATATCATTTGGTCAGCGGATTTGATCGCGATGGAGACTGGGAACAAGTCAGTGGTTTTGCAAAAAAAATAGCTTGAAATCTTGATTTTTTCCACCTTATATGTCTATTATGCTCTACATGAATATTAGGAACTTAAGAGTAACAAGCAAATCTATGTTCTTTTATTGCACAAGCATCATAATTTGCAGGTACTGTAGAGTAATTATTTAAATCTAATTTAATTATAAATGATGAGCTGCATGTACTGTTGCTTGTTTTTCCAAGAGCAAATTTGTGGTGGTAYTACATTTACCCTGTTATCTGTAGTGATTACTAAAATGCGAAATATGTGTTTCCAGAATTTCCAGAATAATAATAAATTATGATGGCTTAAGAAAGGCCTACTTCCTTTTTTTATAGCTGTCGAGTCTAAAGAAGTTACTCTGAAGTTCCGAATAATCGTATATATACGCTTATTTATTTTGGCAAAATATTCCACTCTATACGGCCTTATTTGGGACTGTACGATTATTAATTTTCACAATTTTTTTCTCTGTGCCTACCTTAATTAGTTATTAACAATATCGTGAGAAAAAAAATTGAAAAAAGTTGCCAAAAAGACAGACTTTTTGTCTCTAAAACGAAAACAAAACTGCGAACGAACAGCAAACTAAGAGCACAAATCATCTGGTCAGCGGATTTGATCACAGGGGAAACTGGGGAGAAGTCAGCGGTTTTGCCAAAAAAATGCGGGAAAACTGCCAGTACTGCCGTTTTTTCCACCCTATACTATTATTCCGATCTATACTATTATTGGTAAATTTGTATTTTTCCACTCTATACTATTATTATGCTCTATATGATTATTCGGAACTTCAGAGTACACAAAATAAGCTTATCACGATTATKTATCCTAATGTTCTGAAAAACATACATTTTTGCACTGAGAAAGTTTTTTTACTGCAAATTTTTGAATTTTGACTAAAATTCTACTCGCCCATATCACTTCAAATAAGCCATGCTKTGCCTTAAACAAATCCCAAGATTGTTGAACATTATTACATCCRACTCCTCTACAATGACATCAATGTCCAAAAAATACTCCCTCTAAGGTTGATATCACGCTGTGATGATGTAAGTAATACACAAGAAAATTCCATAATTTGAGCAAAATTGTATTTTRTCAAATTGTACTGTAACAATTATCCTTGTTGTTGTTAGTATCAAATAAAGTTCTTCATTTGTGTCATTGGGTTTTATGATGATCCTGTGTTATAATGAGCTGAGGTCAAGTGGAGTTAGCAGTTGGCTCACTGGGCCATATATAATTAGCTAATATACAATGTACATTTAAAATAATAATGCTGTTTTTCAAAACACTATCTTTTCACTATTTCAGCTTTTYATATCACTGGAGTTCGGACCAGGGTAAAGTATTACAAGATAAATGTCATATCAGCATTTGACTTAAACAATTAAAAAGTTGAAATGGTATACAAGAATTTTTCAAAATATATAATTCATAACACACAATAGCACAGCAATTAATTCAGACTGTTCGAACTAAATTAACTTTGGTGTATTTGAAGGACAATTCTGCTTTGCAAAAGGCATTTCAAAACAAACGCCAAGGAATAATGTTATAAAATTAAGGCTGTATKTTTGTATCATAATTTGATCTTCATAAAAAAGTATTTTCAGTGAATGTTTGAAGATGGCTTATTTTTTTGGCGATGTTAGCGTTTCACAAGGTGTATACAAAAAAAATGTCTGAAGAAAACAGTGGGGCATCAGATATGTCGAAGTCAAAACGAACCTATARCACGCAATCTTATACAAAATGCAAAAACATTGTCTGAAATCAAGTAAAAACAAACTTTTTATCGAGAAGGACAGTGAGGAATAGCTTAGAAGTTAAACTGCTAAACTGGAATGCTAAGGAATGTACGAGTAGCATTCAAAAGATAAAATAAAATAAGCYWATAACAAACCGGCAACATYGAGATCGAATAAGTAATATTTCCACTTATCATCGTGGCAGTTCGTGGAAGTTCGTTTCAGGAGATGTCGGTTCATGTGAAAGTACAATTTTATGAAGACAGGACGGAAGCAATTTGTAAAGACACCACAGCAACATTCTCCTTACCAAAAAGTGATGTCTGTGTCAATATGATCGATGCGCAATCATCGAAGCAAAAATACAATTGYACAAGTATGGAAAAGACACTACTCTTATTTAAAATGCCAACAATGCAWGACCGGACATTCGTTTCATCGAGAAACCCAAGTCCAGTCTACAAAAATGGTCGACATTCGAAAAATTATTCACAGAAAAATGTTACAAAGTTGACAAATAAATGTATGATGAACGAAAAAACTCTCAAATTGAATTATTACTTACAATTTTCCATCGCTGTCTGACAACATCGCCGGTTTTGAGCAAATCCGCCATTACAAGTCGTCGTCCGTCATTTTACTCGCGCTCTTCGGCGATCCAAATCCACAAATTCGATACATAAATTCTTCTCTTCTTTCCTTATCAGTATTTAGATTTCTCAGGCCATGATTTGGTGAATAGATTGGGTCGGTGAGGATATCAGTGACATAAAAAAGAAGTTTGTTTCCCAATACGACACTTCATCACACCGTTGAATTTATTATCACTGCGTCGCTTAYGAGCCCGCGGTATTGCGGTTTTGATTAAAAATATGTACGCCCGCGATATCATAACAAAAATGCGGATATCAACAGTGCACAACGCGCGCGCATTTGGTGAAAGTGAGGRAAAATGCAAAGTGGAGTACCGTAATTGTCTAAACTTCATCTCTTGATATTTAATATTACCTTTTCGTTTTTCTGTGAAAGATGGTCTTTAATTTCCTTCATGAAGAATACAAAACGCTTTGCGTGTGAATCAAGGAGGCACTCACAAAGATGAACTCTTTGGACAGCTTTTGTGGGATTGAAAATGGTWCTTTCAAAGTTTGGAACTCGGAAACAAAGAATTTTGGATCATGTTTTGTACTTCTAGCCTTAGTATGCCCTGCAAATGGTATTTTGCTATTTCTAAGTGCCTATTATTCAGGGAAAAAGACTTTGAACATACCTAACACAGAAGTACCATTGCTTGCAAAAGTGCGAATTTTTACTTCCTGTATAGTTGCTTTGGAGTCTTTGATAGAAATAGCTTGCATATTACTCGTTCAACCATGGCATCCAGCATTTGTACTCCTTACAGATTCAATTATAGCTGTAACATGGATATTTAACTCTGCTGCTTTGTGGAGGATTCGTATAAGATTTTTAACTCAAAAGTGTCTGCCTAAAGCTCTTTTGATTGGGACTTTTCTTGTTTTGCTGACGTCCATTTTTCACTCATACTCTGTTATATATGCAATCCTTACTGATGCATCAACTCATGCAGTTAATGATTATGGTGCAATTGCAAGGTCAGGACTACAAATAATCTACCTTATGACTCTTGTAAATTGTGGCGTGAATGATAATTCATCTAGAAACTCCTTACTGCAAGTAAATGCTCCTGGAATTCAAGCTGGCGATGGCGCAGAGCATGATAAATTACTCAGGTCAATCTCCCAGGGTACATACTACAGTAGTATTCAATGTGTATCAGATGACTTGGGTGTTGCAGAAGATCCGTATAACCCACTTTCAAAATTATGCTTTTGGTGGGTGAGGCATTTAATGTTAAAAGGSTTCAAAGGAAAAATCCAAAGAGAAGAAGATTTATTTATGCTTCCAAAGAGTCTAAGAACATCACACATACAAGATATTTTTCTTAAAGAATTTTACTTGAACCCAATAGAACTCCCTGAGCCAAGAACACCAGCCTCAAGCATAACAAGTTGTTCTACAGATTTTGACGACCATAGTTCRAATGTAGATGTCAAGTTCTCTGGGGGTGGTAGTGATGATGTTTTTGGTATTAGTGGTAGTGTACAGAGACGTTTGTTGTCAGCTCTTCATCATGCTTTTGGATGTCAGTATTATTGTTTGGGTATCTTGAAGCTATTGGGTGATGCCCTTGGATTTGCTGGTCCTTTGCTTCTACATGCATTGGTTTCATTCATAGAGAATAAAAAGGTAACTTTGACAGTTATTGTTTTGGAAATACAGTTAYATAAACTAGGGGGCAGTTAACATAGGGTGAATGATGGTGCTAGAGTCATTTTCATCAGTCTAATATGAAACATTTACTACTTCTAGTAGRGTGTAGTAGGCTACCAAAAGGCAAAACCAAAACCATGTTTGCCTAATTATTAGTTTGTCGCATGTCATAAGTTAAACCTCGGCCCATCCTCATCTGTGCTGATGGGTTTAAATGAGGCTAAATGTATACATTTAAGGCTATAAGTTAAAATCAAGCACTCAGTCACGTAGCTGGCTTGCATGCTTTGGCATGACGGATGTGCGTGACTAGATGTGCTCATTGCATGCACACCCCGAAATTGCTTGCAGGGCCACATGATGTTGCTGCTTGCTTGCTTGCTTGCTATTCATCCAAGCGTGTGGTGAAAGTTCCCTCCCTCCTCTTTGGGTTGACCTAAGTATAAATTCCACTGTTTACAGTGTGCCAGGTGCCAGGTGGTGGTCCGTGCGTCTTTACCATGGACACCTCCCTTCAGGTTGGTCTGCAGCGTGGCCGCCTGGCTGGGCAACTCAGCCCATCCTCATCTGTGCTGATGAGTTTAAATAGGGAGTAATAGTATACACAACTTTCATAATGGCCGACGCTAATTAGCATATTATCTAGTCAATTCATAATGTTGACAAAAGAAGACACTCAAATGGTAGATATCAAAGCCAATAAAGATAAACTCTGAAAGTTTCACAGAAAAATATTAAATCCTCTTGAAGTTATAAGGGTTAGAAGAAGTACAAAAACACCAAAACGAGGCTGCCCAGTCATCAGCAAAGAATTCCATACAAATCCCTGTATTTTTATCCCTCCATAACATTTTTAGTATTTAATCCTTGGCTTTAAAACTTTCCATGAATACCTTTTTCTAATAGCTCTTCTATATGACAGTGTTGAATGTTTCCATATAATATTATAAATTTCATAATATCAATGGTGGGCACTTAATGAAAGTGGTCTATTTAATAGTTAGCACAAATTCCTATTTCACAGACAGATGAAAATGACTCTAACCAGTGGTCTAAATAAATTATTATCCAGACGGTAAAATTCATGATTAATCATAAAATCTTTTGAGCAGAACTGTATCACTATGTCCATCATAAATTAGGTCAGATAAAATCCATGCCAAAATCATTGTTGCAGTAAAGAACTTTATGTCCTTTCTATGATATCTTCTGATGATAAATAATCTCTTATTATATATAGTATATTATGAAACGGAGACAACTATTAACTTACAAGTGTGCAAAGATACAAACCTTCTTTCATACAGTGTACAGACAATTGTTCATATGTCATATTACTGCTCAAACCATATTGATTTCTTGATTCAGTGGAGAGGCCCAGTTTCCTTTCAAGATGGGGCAGGGTCTAGTATGAAGGAGACTTCTGGTTGTGGAACTCGGTCTTTATTCCATGCGTGTAAATTCTCACAACAGTAACCTACTAGTGTCAGTTAAATTTGATGTTGCCATAGGAAGCACCACAGAACTGATTCCATTTTTTTCACCTAATCATGACTGTGAAGCACATGTTATCTTGTTCAAAAGGCAATTCAGATACAGCTTGTCATGATGAAACTTGAGTTTACCTACTACTGAATCATCAAAGCTAAAAAAACATTCATTSACATAAAATGTACTGGTCAAACCCAGCATTTTAACCAGATTTCAACTGTGCAAAGCTCAAATTTATTTGCACTGCTTATCTGTACATTTTTGATGTCTCTCCCAGACACAAGAACACTAAWAKTCCAATTATTATTTGAATGTTGTTTGTTAGGAGCCAATGTCCCATGGTTATTACTATGCAACTGGTTTGCTGTTATCTACATTGTTTTGTGCCTTCATAAATGCTCACTTCAGCTATTGGGTATGTAATAATAATAATTATCATATATAACTATCTATGACATACCTATATTTCTCCATTTCGTAAAATTTATATTTTCTCTAGTGAAAATAGTTCAAGTTCAATATGCTTTATTAATAACATGACCTCAACATTTACAGGTATTGTTAAAGCGTAACTTATATTTGAAAAAAACGAAACAAAAAAGATATTATGATAATATAACAATTAAATATTGCTATTTTTTCTACAGTGATAAAATATCACAAAAAGACATATTAATATATTGATATAAAGATAATGTATATAGAGGATAAAAAAAATAACACATTTGAGGTTTCTCTAATATAGTGGAAGTAAGAAAAAAGCTATTTGACGACATAGTTTGCTTTCACTACGCTCACTCATGAGAAATCTTTTCAACACTCAAAGATAAAATCTGTATCTCCGCGTGTCCATATAATATCCTCTATTTATAAATATTCTTTGTTTGTAATTGCACAAAACTTCAACAGTGGATTTCTCAACGTTCATTCAACGAACATGGCTACCATTTTTTTAATATTATGGGAAGGAATTGTACATAAGCAATATTTCTACTTTATTCTCTTTCAATTTTGTCATTTGGATATTTTTTGAAGGTTAATAAAGTTGGTTTAAAGATGAGAGCAGCTATCATTACAACAGTTTATCAGAAGGCTCTTTCAGTCAGTAGTGCTTCACTTGCTAAATTCTCAACTGGAGAGGTAAATTACTTAGATTTTTCTTGTAAATATTTCATGACCTATTACATGATCATGACGATTATAATCCATAGTAAACTGCTGTTTTAGTATTCATTGGGCAGCATTTTGTGCAATAGATTTTGCATGATTGTGAACTCGTTGTATAGTCATCGCAATGATTTGTTCAAGAATATAATCCGAAACAATCATTTTAAAAGCTGTTTTTGCTTATTGAAAAAAATACAGGTAGTTGTACTATGGTTTAACAGAGAAAATATGAAAAGTTTTTTTTAGGGACTAGATATTTAGAGGCCCAAATGTTGTACAAAATGGTGTTGCTGCACCTGCCTATTAAAACAACTCAATTTTGCAAAATTTTTAGCTTGTACTGTCTCAATACATGCTACAGTGTAGCTACTTAATGGACCAGCTAACTCCAAATATTGTGAATTTTGAATTTTCCTCATCATACGACAGGTTGTCAACTTCATGAGTACAGATACCGACAGAGTTGTGAACTTTTGTCCAAGTTTCCATCAATTCTGGAGCCTTCCATTCCAAGTTGCAGTATCATTGTATTTACTGCATCAACAGGTAAAAAGGAACTGGAAAAATATTTAATACTATCAATATTTGATGAATTTTACATTGCATATTTATATTTTTGACTTCAGACAACCATGTGCATTTTAAACTAATATTATTAGTGTACAGTATGTAACATGCAGTTGTTGTTTCAAAAGGAGAAACAAACCTGCAACTGAAATACTCCATTTTTGAATTCAAACCAAAAGAACCCTGTTGCTTTATTTGACAACAGATTCTCTTGCGCAAAGACTTTCTCAAAAACAAAAGCAGGGAAGATGTCGATATTACAATTGTCTTAAAAGTTTGCATTTTCCCTGAGTTGAATCTAACCTTGTATTCCCGTAAGATGTAAGGTTTAAGCCTCTTGGAAATATAGGGTTAGCCTCAACTCAGGGAAAATGCAAATTGTTGAAGCTATTGTAATTACTACAGTTTCTTGTGCTCTCTTTTTTGTTTGGAAAGGTCTTTGGTAAGAGAAGTAAGCTGGAAGTGAATTGAAAACTGCAATTAATAATAAAAAACAATGGAAACGAGACCTAAATGTCCCTGCGGGATTTATGATGACAAATATCTAAAGATTCCATTCGCCTGAATTTAAGAAAAATGGCTTAAATTCAATAAGTCAGAATATTTTTCAATTCCTAGGCTACTACGATTTATTTTGTAAGTATGTATACATCAAGGTTTATTGCTTATCATAAGGCGGCAAAATACGAGATACAAAAACCATCAACTTGCCTTGGCGCGCAACATTGTTTCTGTTCAATAGGCTCGATGTTTCTCATTTTTCATCGCGCGCAATCAACTTGGCACGCAACAAAATCCTCTCGTTGCGAGTTGAAGAAAGTTGTTGCGCAAAGTAGAATCTCGCTCTACTTTCAGATACAAATTTTGGCTTTGTATGATTTTTCATGAATTATAATTCTCTTGTATTCCTTGTAGGTTGGTCTTGCATTTCTAGCAGGTCTAGCATTTGCTATCATTGTTATTCCTATCAACCGATGGCTTGCAATCAAAATCCAGGAACTTAGTAAAGACATGATGACAAAGAAGGACAGTAGAGTTAAGGTAAATATTAAAAGAAAGGCGGCACATATCACAACTAAAGAACAAATAGTTTCGTCACAGTTCCCCGTACCATCATGAAAAGTAATCTCATGCCATTGTGTTAAATGTCGTCTAAGTCAATCAGTTAACCAGACACTTAATATTAATAATAGTGTTACTTTAACTATTTTAAAAGTGTTCATGAATTGCTATCATTTCAGATGATGAATGAAATCTTGTATGGAATCAGAGTCATTAAATTCTATGCCTGGGAGAGGAAATTTGAGGAAAAGATCAATGATATCAGGTACTCTTAGATTGTGCTTGGAATGAAATGTTGATTATACTAAAAACGTAATATCAAAAAACGTCTGCATTGATCTCGAGTCCAAACTAGTAAATGATGATACTATTCATTGTTGTTGACCATTGTCACGCATTATTAAAAGTGTTATCCTAAAGCTTACAGGTTGTGTGAAGTCAGAGAAGACAAGGCCTACTCCGGGGCAGAAAGACGCCTTAAGTAACCGCAACTTACAAAAATATGATGGTAGATTTGGCGGGGCACTGTGGCAGCTTGAGGCGACTTAAGGAAATTTGGATAATGATTATGTGGGGTTAGCCTTCTTCGCAGGCTACTCCATCGGAAACGGACATTTTTTCTCTTCTTGGTCTTCCTGTGTTCATAATCTTGACCGAGAAGAACTGGTGTCGAGAGATTAAGGGAGAATCTACGTAGCACTCAGTTGATGTAATATATTCATAAAGWTATAATACAAAACACATAATACAATAGAACGAGAAACAATGGAATACAATACATTTTATGAATACATTACATCAACTGCGTGCTACGTAGGTCACCCCTTAGGAACAACGAACCTTCCTAGCTCCCTCCCCCTCCGGCAGCTTTCTTTGTCTTAACACAGGAATCCCACAGAGTAGAGTTGCCTGCGAAGGAGGCCAAGCTGGGGTCCCTTGGCGACTAAATGCCTTTTAAGGCGACTTAAGGCAACTTTCTGGCCCTGAGTAGGCCTCAGACAGGAATATACTTGGCTATTTGTAGAGCATCGCTTTATCCCAAAGCATTCCTATCTATCTCAGTAACATAGGCATATTACTTCTTCTTTCAAGGTCAGAAGAGCTAAAGAGTCTTAAGGGTCGTAAGTACCTGGATGCATGGTGTGTGTACTTCTGGGCCACCACACCAGTGATCATATCTATACTGACTTTCACTACATATGCACTCATGGGCAACAGACTCACTGCTGCTAAGGTGATTGACAATGTTATATGACCAGTCTCCCTTGCAGCACGTTATCAGCATCGTGTTTGTTAACACAAGACAAAAATATAGCCGTGTCTCTGATAATGACTGCAAGGGTGATTAGTACAATTAATGAAATGCAAGTAATGAAAAGGTATAGTGCTTAGAATTTATTCCTGGAGAAAGAACCTTGTGAATAAATACGGACAATAAATTGGTTTCCAAACTCGCTGGGATTCGAACCCACGACCCTCGGATTTGTACTACCGATGCTCTGCCAGCTGAGATACAAGGTCAGACTGGGAGCAGGTCAGGGTGAAATAGATGTTAGGTTGCAATAATGGAAATGTCAAATGAATGTAAGGACCACATGGCACTAGATATGTCATGGCACTATGAGAAACGTGAAATGGACTAATAACGGAAAGTTATAGTGCTGAGAAAGTGCCATAGCCTTTTACTGAAGCTAAATGTAGATTTACTCGTTTTAAATTTTTTTTAATTACATTTTTCCATTTTAGGTATTTACCAGTGTAGCATTGTTCAACATGCTGATCTCTCCTTTGAATGCATTTCCATGGGTTTTGAATGGACTCATGGAGGCCTGGGTGTCGATCAAAAGACTCCAGGCTTTCCTAGAGTTACGAGACCTGGATCTTAGTTCCTACTACTCAGATATGAACGATAAAGACCTCAGACAAACAGGTTAATATGCCATAATGACAGATATGAGAGAGAGACAAGGGATGTGATTTGTTATGGTTTATTACATAGGCCGCCCAACTATTGCTTGAGAGAAAGAAAACAACGAATGCGCATGCTTTTTACGCTTTTACTAGTCTACTCCTTCTTACGCTGTTATCTGAACGCGCTCTTTGCAAATTGCTGGTTACCTGTGGTATTATGTCAATGATCACTTGCCTCCCTTGTCACAGACTAGTTTTTGATAACGCGAGGCAAGGGATCATTGACGTAATACCACAGTTAACGCCGCAATTTGCAAAGAGCGCGTGCAGATAACAGCGTAAGGAGTAGACTAGTAAAAGCGTAAAAAGCGTGCGCATTCGTTGTTTTCTTTCTCTAAAGCAATAGTTGGGCGGCCTATGGTATATTACTGTAAAATGTCGATCACTGATCCCAAAACCTTAAAATTTGAAATTTTGAGAATTCGAGTTGATTCCAGTTTCAATCATGTGATTCTGAAGTCCAGAACTGGACTGAACTGAACTATCCCTATGAACCAAACTATAAACAATGACATCAAGAAAGATTCAATTTTTTTTTGCAATTCTGAAAACTGGAAAATAACGTACTGACTTGTTTTCAGATGTTAAGATCAGTAATGGTCAGTTTTCATGGAGAAATTCTGCATTTGAAGAGAGTAAAAGCGATTTCCAAGAGGCTCCTGAGATATCAAGCTCATTGGGATGTTTATCYGACATTAATGTCACACTTAACAAGGTTTGTTCAGATGTTCTGCCAGAATAGACGATTGGGAATTTCGCCTCGTAGTTTAAATACAARGAATATAGTGGGARCTGGCGGTAAACTAGTGTGAACTGCGTTGRTGTTGCTAATAAAATATAGTTATGTAAAAAGATAAAATTTAACACCGTAAAAATGTAGATGAAACAACTAACTGACGTTTCGGACGTTAATCCTTCGTTGGAGTAGAAAAGACGAAGTTTACCCCKAGGAATGAAGGATTAACATCCGAAACGACAGTAAGTTGCTTCATTTTCTGGTATATGTTGGTCATTAAAGACGAAACATGTYTTTCAACTCTGTTRTTTTGTTCGCTACGTWAACAGATAAGMAGTGAATGAAAAGTTCATATACCAGAAAATGAAGCTTAGTAAGTCTGTTCTTGTCTCSATAAAAGATTTTTCGACAGTAAGTTGTCTCACCTACTATTTTACGGTGTTGAATTTATATCTTTACACAACTGTTAAAAATATTGTTGAGGCGCAGCACATAAACCTCAGACAGCCGGCTTTTGCAATTAGGACTGTATATATTCATTACTTTCACAATGAAAATGATATTAATTATTATAGTTAGTCTATCAACGTTTTGTCTGGCAATGCAAAGGATGGTAAAGACCAATAAGTCAATAATTCCAACATTTGAACAAGTAATCAGTACTCTTCTGTTTCTAGGGACAACTGGTTGGTGTAATAGGCACCGTAGGATCTGGTAAAAGCTCTTTATTATCAGCCATCACAGCAGAAATGGAAAAAACGGCTGGACAGGTGATTACACCATCGGCTGTCGGGCTAACGAATAACCATCTAATATCAAATATTTCTCTAGATATATGCGTCAAGTTTGGATAGGGGGTTTGGACTTGCATCACAGGTAAGTGAGACTTCGTTTTCACAGGTCAGAGTTTGTATAACCATGCTTTGTCTTCAGGCAAGACACTTATTAACTGGTGTTTCCGATCTTCTTTGATAAGATCGTAGAGCTATAATAGACATAGAATTAGTRGGCACCTTCAGCTTTATGGCTTACCCAGAGTAGGTCAATGGTATCCTTGCGTCCATCCACGCAACTCCAGACACGTCTTTTATTTAGTTATTCATTTGTCAGTTTGACCAAAGCCTAGTTGCTAGTTAGGGGCCATCACGTACAATGGTTGACACCAACCTGATCTCCGTCAAATGGTGCTGTGGATTCCTTTACGTCTCTTTGTTGCTAATGAGAAGTGAAGAGACGACACCTAGACAAGGCACTGAGTGAGTAAAGTAGCCTCATCCTCAGCCATCAGTAAGAATCAAGGGCTTCCTCTCTTTTTGGGAGAATAGGGACGACAGAGTGAAAGACCCTAGCGGCCAAGATGACTGTTAGAAAGGAAGCTCAAAGGAGGAAAAAAGAGTTGCCTGGGGAGGAGGCTTTGGGTGAAGAATCTTGCCTGATCATTCAACATGATCTTGGAATCGAACCCAGGAAAGAAGACCCGAAATTAGATGCTTTAACCATTGGTCCATCAYGTTTCATTTAATTATCACTGAGCATCTGAAGTGCATCTATAATGTWATTTTTTATCATTAATGCGACGTTTAACTGTTCTTGTGGTATGAAAAGATAAGGTTTTGCATACCTTTGCTCTTTGTATCCTGAACCATACACTTATTTCTTCTTTTTGGCTAAACGTTGTGTTGTGCAAATAGGAGCCTTGGATTCAGCATGCTACTGTCAAAGAGAATATCTTGTTTGGTCTGCCATTTGACGTGGAAAAATACAGTGCTGTGATTGATGTTTGTGCATTGGGAGAGGTACTGAAGTCTTTTTAAAAAGATTCCTGTGTTCTTTCATCGAGTGTTCAGCCTTTTTGTGTACAAATTTTTACTTCATCCAGTAAAAGTAATTGATGGTTTTCAACCATTCCCAGGAGAGAAAGTTGAACAAAAGAYGTCCKCCATTGCTGGTGGACCTGACAAAAGAAAACCACCACCGTGACTGGTGGACCTTTTCGTTTTGCTCACTCTCATGRGAATGGTTGAAAACCATCAATATGAAAGAGTTAGGAAAAGAAGGCGCTATACATTTATCAATTGTTCAATCCATGCAGCTTATTGTACAAGGCTGGATCTRCACACCCTTTCTCGACAATAATTATTAGTTTAAGTATGCAAAACTGATGTTTTTCTTGTTGTTTGACTGTCTATTTGATTGGCAAGAATTATTTGTTTGTTTAACGTTTGCTTTTATCGCTTGTCCAGGATTTGTTGATGCTGCCCGCTGGAGACGAAACAGAAGTCGGAGAGAATGGCGTGACACTAAGCGGAGGGCAGARGGCAAGAGTGGCTCTAGCAAGAGCAGTTTATCAGGTATGTGCTGTGGTACTTTATTTTTTAACTTTACAACCTGCTTATTTATTTTCTATTCCAATAGTGCAAGTCCTCTTTATGAAATATTTTGCCTGTAGTACATGATTTTGGTCTTCTACTGCAAGGTTTAATCTACCTTTCCCGTTGGCCCTGTTTTATACCTGGCTGAAAATCAAGAATATAAATCACACATATTGCAATCGAAATTTAGATTAAGAACACCCTATTTATTTTTAAGGACATTCAGGTTTTTTTATTTATAAATCTGTAAAAGCTGAGGACAGTTTTATGGAGTGAGCCAGTCACTGGGGATGGTTAAGTTCAGAGGGTTGTTGGAATTCTCAATAGTTCTTTTACCTCATCCAAATGAACGGTGTGGGGATTTTTTGCGAACAGGACTTTTGCACGTCTAAAAATAAAAGCAGCAACCTTCATTGATGTGGCTTTGTTTGTAATTTGCTCAAAACTTGCTTGCGTTTTTCAGTCATTCTTCAAACTTTACCTTAAAGACTAATGTTCGGGACAGAATTTTTAATCCCCTTTAACTTACCAACTTATCAGTGAGCTAAACAGTAATTAAGCATTTCTATTTTTTTAATACATTTTCATATATTTATCATTTGCCAGGATAAAGATGTATATCTTCTAGACGATCCACTAGCAGCAGTAGATTCGCACGTTGCAGCACACCTATTTCAACACTGTATTCTGGGACTTCTACGTCACAAGACCGTCATCCTTTGCACGCATCACATCAAATACCTCAAAGATGCTGATCATGTGATCGTTATGGATAATGGCATCATTACCCATCAAGGGCCCCCAACTGAAATTCTAACCAAAGAGACGTTGATATCACAATTATCACGTGATAGCATAATCACTGACGATGACTCTGATGCCCAATCAGATTTTGATGAGAAAACACCAGCAGAAGGAGAAGAGGATGGCGGGCTTGTCTCCGAAGAGAAGAAAGACGAGGGTGCGGTCAAACTCCACGTGTACGGATCATACTGGGTTTCTATTGGACATTGCTTAGCTGTCAGTATATTGGTGTCTCTTCTGCTAATGCAAGGTAGGCTGYAACGGAAGTTGTACTCAGACACTGACCATTTGTCTCAAGAAGGGAGAGGGGGTGAGCGATTTTGAAATTAGATTTCCACCACTTCCCGTACGATCCCCTTAAGAAAATTCCAATGGCGATCAAAAAAAATCCCAATCGCGATCAAAAATATAATTCCAATCGCGTTCAAAAATATAATTCCAATCGCGATCAAAAACAAATTTATAATGGCGCACTACTCAATAGACGACGACACCGTGAAGGCCACAGAAATGCTGTGGCTTGACGCCCTGTGATGGCACGAATTCCATTCCATTCGATTCCATTACTCGCGGCACGAATACCATAGTTTTTCACACATACGGAATTCGTTCTATTTCACTTTTTGAATTTCTTTTCGCAGCTTCTCGGAATCTTAGCGACTGGTGGCTAGCATACTGGATATCTCACACAAAAACCCATCATAATACCACCACTCAATACTCAACAACCATCTCTGATGCCGAAATACCAAACAATGTGTTAGGTGGCGTTCACATCGTTAAGGGAACCGTCACATTCTATCTTATTGTGTATGCAGGATTTGCTGTCAGTAACACGGTAAGGAATTGACGTYTCCATCCATCACTAAAGTACAAATAGACCTAATCAGCTTCAACCCAATTCAAACCACCCGGGAGTAAGTTTCATTGTTCGTTGTGTTTTCATTTCACAGTTGAAGTTCTTTTTCCCACAGGATTTGAAATTGGTGGCAACGTACATAGCAACGCCGTTAGCTGATTAGGTCTATTGCGAAGCACTSTAATAGCTAGCGACCAGTTTTCTTATTCTTTTCTTGATTGATAATGGAAGTTTGAAAATATTTATCTTTGAATTCCATTTTTTAGGCCAAAACATATAGGATTCCCAGTATTAATATAATGGTTAAAAGTGACAAAGCGTATTTTTATTTTATTTTTCAGATATTCACTCTGTTTCGTGCGTTTCTGTTCGCCTATGGAGGAGTTAAAGCTGCTCGGGTTCTCCACCATCGACTTCTAACAACAATTTTGGCAGCACCTRTATCATTTTTTGATGTCACACCGGTACACTTATACTAGTACACTTATTATTATTAAAGTGAAGTCAAAAAATTATTGATTGAGTTGTGGTTTTCTTTTGTCTTCCAGATTGGAAGGATAGTCAACAGGTTTTCTTCTGACATGGTAACGTGTGAATCATTATATTAAGGAGGGATTATTAAATAGTCGACAGATGGGTATCATGGGATGCTGAGAGGGAGTGGTCACGTGCAAATTCTTCCTAAAAATCCAATAAGGGAACAAGTTTGACAGCTAAACAGGGGAAAAAATTAGTGCACCTTGGGGGTTACTGAAGTAAGGGAAGTAAAAATGATCCAAAAATCGCTTACAAACGCTTTAAATGGCAAGTGCACTTTATTGCTTTTATTCTAAGCTGCATTTAAAAACTTTGGCGATGAAACGATAATACCAATGTATACTACATACATTCCCTTATACAAATACTCAGACTGCGTTACCGATGTTGATTCAAATGAATTGTTATTAAAATATTCATAATATCAATGGTGTTTTCTTTGCAGTACTCCATTGATGACAGTCTTCCTTTCATCCTCAATATTTTCCTTGCCCAGGCGTACGGCGTGTTAGGAACAATAGTTATAACATGCTATGGTTTGCCGTGGCTGACTATCTTGTTAGTACCACTGGCATTGATTTACTACTACATACAGAACTACTATCGAAAAACKTCAAGGTATGCTATGCATCCTTTGGCATTTAACGGCATATAGAAAGCAAAGCCACTTGTACCAGTGGCGAATCAAGAACGTTGGAAGGGGGATTTAACTAAAGCAAAATATTAAATTTATAGATTTAGGGTTGCGGAATTCTTTTTTTTTTTAGATGAAGACCGGTTTTTGTTGTTGTTGTTGTGGGTAGCCAATCTTATCACTCACCTGGATCTGCCCATGTGTCCATTTATTGTATTCTGACTATCGAATCTTCAGGAMGACGGGATAGAGTGGGTGGAGGCCATTTGTATCCCAGAGCGCTTTTTCATTCATTAATTTATCATTCATTACGCTATTATCTGCTATAAATCTCTTTCTTTTTTATCTTTTGCTATATATTTTTCCTTTGTTTGCAGGGAACTCAAGAGGTTAATGTCGGTGACACTATCCCCGATTTACGCTCATTTCTCAGAGACTCTTACTGGACTGAGCACCATTCGAGCATTGCGTGACATGCATCGATTYCAGTTCTTAAACATGAACAAACTGGAGMTCAACCAGAGAGCGAACTTTTGCGGTATGAATGGCTTTATTTTATGGTCTKTCTGTCGGCTAAATAATTTTTCCTGCACTGATTAGAGCGAGAAAGTTTAAAGAGTTTACATCAGAAAACACATGAATGAAGAGAAAGTCAAGACGAGCASTGCTGTTCAAGAACAATAATTATAGTAAAAATAGGCAGTCTTTTGAAAATATGAGCATTTTGGAGAAAGCTCTGTTACAGTCAAATTCTGAGATGAGGGATGTTTGTTAGATGTTCGTGAGATATTTTTTTCTGAGATCTCAGAAATCGTTTCGTTAGTATTCAAACTTGCAGTCTTGCGTTCTATGACAACGCCTCTTATCAATCAATCACCTATTCGCCCGTCCCTCATTGAGAGACATTTAGCAGTCATTCTACTTGAATGATGCTCAAGCATTGTTAGTTAAACTGTTTTCCTTTCGCCTTTTTTTCTTCAATTTTGTAACAGCAATGGCTGCYTCACAGTGGTTGAGCCTGCGATTACAGTTCCTCGGTGTTGCTATGGTAACAGGGGTAGCATTCATAGCGGTTTTAGAACACCATTTCAGTTTTGGATCTGTTGATCCAGGTATGTAAGCTTTGCTACACATTTTTATTGCACGTGATCCAAGCGTGTTTTTCAAAAATGTTTTCTCTACTAATAACTACTGACAAGTGTAATTCGAACGGACTCCAAGGAACCCAAGGGACTTGAGTCTGGGAGAGAGTAGACTTACTCTTTCACTTGGTGTCTCACAGTCGGTTACTTTCCCGCTATTACGTTATTCCAAGGTGCTGCCACCGAAGGAAAGATATGCGAGAGAAACAAACATAACTCTTCGCCTCATCAATATTTATAATCTCAGGCCCATATATAAGTTTTAAATTCTTACGAATATGGCGACATCTCCGCTARAGATCCCTCTACAAACTAAAGCGCAGGAACTTGAACAGTGAAACAGTGAAATTTCATTATGTCACTTCTGTTTTTTGTGTGATCACAGGTCTTGTTGGGCTAGCTATATCTTACGCGCTATCAGTGACAGACCGTCTCTCAGGGATGGTGACGTCATTCACTGAGACCGAGAAACAAATGGTCAGCGTCGAACGGGCTGTCGAGTACATCGAGGACATCCCGTGTGAGCGATCGGGACATACTAAGGTATTTAATGTGAAATGTCAAAARSAGAAATRTTTTGAACACRATGTCGGAGCTGCGTCCAGARWACCTATGCTMTCGTGCTGGGCATAGCATCTTGTGTGTYCARTGGCTTGGACGAGTAAAATTKKAAMATAYTTTTTATRYCTTATYYKYCAACAGATCTCTCCATTCTGGCCAAGCATAGGGCAACTTACCTTCCATAATGTTGTTTTAGTGTACAGGTAGGTGTTAAAAAGTCAATTTTCGGTMTAGCYAGATCAAGATCAKWTGCAGCATTGATTCTCTTTGTAAAGCGAGCTTTTGTTTAATTGCAGACGTGGTCTTCCACCAGCTTTACGTAATGTTTCATTTCAAATTAAAGGAGGAGAGAAGGTAAAGGTTGTTAGCCGAGGAAAACTTATTTGTTGAAAAAACGTTTTCAGGTTCCCAAATGTGGTGTCATCAAAGCTAAGACCGCAAGACAGCATGGGAAAGCAAAATTATTAGTATAACAGTGTTTCAGAAATATTGTCTGAACTGAATAATATGCGACCGTGGTATTTACTTTATCTACCACGGCTCTCGACCAATCAAAAAGCGAGAAAATTATCATGTGGTCATGTGGTACAAAATGGTATTAACGTGTTTCAAGGACAATGTTATTTGATAGTCAGTAGAAACACGAGAAAATATGTTTATCCTTGAGACTAGACAAACATTTCCTTGATATAAGCAGTAACAGAGCTACAATCTTATGCAAAATAAACGGAACACCTCTACCACCTTTCCCCATTTCAAGGTTGTACACACTTTCTTTTCCTCATCCTCGGGGATTTCGTAGCAATTTATTGACGAACATCATTGATAAAGGATTTTCCAAAAGATTGTTAGCTTAGGCTGGAAAATCAAAGAATCTAGGACAGTTGGCCGATAGTTTGAACTTACATAAAAGCCTTGTCCATGATAGGAAGTAAAGTAGCTGGTATTGATTTTTGCGGGGAAAGTAATTTCGTGTCCACATGTGTCCATAGTCGAAAAGTTTTCGAAAATTTCCGAATGCGCATGCTCACGGCCTCTGTATTTATTAGTGGAACTGAATAATTTCGTATAGAAAATACTCCAGCTTTTTGTGAAAAAGGCATTAGTTTTCTCTTGACATGAAAATGAAACTTAGCATAACAACCAATCACTGATCACGTACTATCTGGGTGATTTGAAAGAATGCGACTAGCCAATCAGNCTACGTAGCACTCAGTTGATGTAATATATTCATAAAGATATAATACAAAACACATAATACAATAGAACGAGAAACAATGGAATACAATACATTTTATGAATACATTACATCAACTGCGTGCTACGTAGGTCACCCCTTAGGAACAACGAACCTTCCTAGCTCCCTCCCCCTCCGGCAGCTTTCTTTGTCTTAACACAGGAATCCCACAGAGTAGAGTTGCCTGCGAAGGAGGCCAAGCTGGGGTCCCTTGGCGACTAAATGCCTTTTAAGGCGACTTAAGGCAACTTTCTGGCCCTGAGTAGGCCTCAGACAGGAATATACTTGGCTATTTGTAGAGCATCGCTTTATCCCAAAGCATTCCTATCTATCTCAGTAACATAGGCATATTACTTCTTCTTTCAAGGTCAGAAGAGCTAAAGAGTCTTAAGGGTCGTAAGTACCTGGATGCATGGTGTGTGTACTTCTGGGCCACCACACCAGTGATCATATCTATACTGACTTTCACTACATATGCACTCATGGGCAACAGACTCACTGCTGCTAAGGTGATTGACAATGTTATATGACCAGTCTCCCTTGCAGCACGTTATCAGCATCGTGTTTGTTAACACAAGACAAAAATATAGCCGTGTCTCTGATAATGACTGCAAGGGTGATTAGTACAATTAATGAAATGCAAGTAATGAAAAGGTATAGTGCTTAGAATTTATTCCTGGAGAAAGAACCTTGTGAATAAATACGGACAATAAATTGGTTTCCAAACTCGCTGGGATTCGAACCCACGACCCTCGGATTTGTACTACCGATGCTCTGCCAGCTGAGATACAAGGTCAGACTGGGAGCAGGTCAGGGTGAAATAGATGTTAGGTTGCAATAATGGAAATGTCAAATGAATGTAAGGACCACATGGCACTAGATATGTCATGGCACTATGAGAAACGTGAAATGGACTAATAACGGAAAGTTATAGTGCTGAGAAAGTGCCATAGCCTTTTACTGAAGCTAAATGTAGATTTACTCGTTTTAAATTTTTTTTAATTACATTTTTCCATTTTAGGTATTTACCAGTGTAGCATTGTTCAACATGCTGATCTCTCCTTTGAATGCATTTCCATGGGTTTTGAATGGACTCATGGAGGCCTGGGTGTCGATCAAAAGACTCCAGGCTTTCCTAGAGTTACGAGACCTGGATCTTAGTTCCTACTACTCAGATATGAACGATAAAGACCTCAGACAAACAGGTTAATATGCCATAATGACAGATATGAGAGAGAGACAAGGGATGTGATTTGTTATGGTTTATTACATAGGCCGCCCAACTATTGCTTGAGAGAAAGAAAACAACGAATGCGCATGCTTTTTACGCTTTTACTAGTCTACTCCTTCTTACGCTGTTATCTGAACGCGCTCTTTGCAAATTGCTGGTTACCTGTGGTATTATGTCAATGATCACTTGCCTCCCTTGTCACAGACTAGTTTTTGATAACGCGAGGCAAGGGATCATTGACGTAATACCACAGTTAACGCCGCAATTTGCAAAGAGCGCGTGCAGATAACAGCGTAAGGAGTAGACTAGTAAAAGCGTAAAAAGCGTGCGCATTCGTTGTTTTCTTTCTCTAAAGCAATAGTTGGGCGGCCTATGGTATATTACTGTAAAATGTCGATCACTGATCCCAAAACCTTAAAATTTGAAATTTTGAGAATTCGAGTTGATTCCAGTTTCAATCATGTGATTCTGAAGTCCAGAACTGGACTGAACTGAACTATCCCTATGAACCAAACTATAAACAATGACATCAAGAAAGATTCAATTTTTTTTTGCAATTCTGAAAACTGGAAAATAACGTACTGACTTGTTTTCAGATGTTAAGATCAGTAATGGTCAGTTTTCATGGAGAAATTCTGCATTTGAAGAGAGTAAAAGCGATTTCCAAGAGGCTCCTGAGATATCAAGCTCATTGGGATGTTTATCYGACATTAATGTCACACTTAACAAGGTTTGTTCAGATGTTCTGCCAGAATAGACGATTGGGAATTTCGCCTCGTAGTTTAAATACAARGAATATAGTGGGARCTGGCGGTAAACTAGTGTGAACTGCGTTGRTGTTGCTAATAAAATATAGTTATGTAAAAAGATAAAATTTAACACCGTAAAAATGTAGATGAAACAACTAACTGACGTTTCGGACGTTAATCCTTCGTTGGAGTAGAAAAGACGAAGTTTACCCCKAGGAATGAAGGATTAACATCCGAAACGACAGTAAGTTGCTTCATTTTCTGGTATATGTTGGTCATTAAAGACGAAACATGTYTTTCAACTCTGTTRTTTTGTTCGCTACGTWAACAGATAAGMAGTGAATGAAAAGTTCATATACCAGAAAATGAAGCTTAGTAAGTCTGTTCTTGTCTCSATAAAAGATTTTTCGACAGTAAGTTGTCTCACCTACTATTTTACGGTGTTGAATTTATATCTTTACACAACTGTTAAAAATATTGTTGAGGCGCAGCACATAAACCTCAGACAGCCGGCTTTTGCAATTAGGACTGTATATATTCATTACTTTCACAATGAAAATGATATTAATTATTATAGTTAGTCTATCAACGTTTTGTCTGGCAATGCAAAGGATGGTAAAGACCAATAAGTCAATAATTCCAACATTTGAACAAGTAATCAGTACTCTTCTGTTTCTAGGGACAACTGGTTGGTGTAATAGGCACCGTAGGATCTGGTAAAAGCTCTTTATTATCAGCCATCACAGCAGAAATGGAAAAAACGGCTGGACAGGTGATTACACCATCGGCTGTCGGGCTAACGAATAACCATCTAATATCAAATATTTCTCTAGATATATGCGTCAAGTTTGGATAGGGGGTTTGGACTTGCATCACAGGTAAGTGAGACTTCGTTTTCACAGGTCAGAGTTTGTATAACCATGCTTTGTCTTCAGGCAAGACACTTATTAACTGGTGTTTCCGATCTTCTTTGATAAGATCGTAGAGCTATAATAGACATAGAATTAGTRGGCACCTTCAGCTTTATGGCTTACCCAGAGTAGGTCAATGGTATCCTTGCGTCCATCCACGCAACTCCAGACACGTCTTTTATTTAGTTATTCATTTGTCAGTTTGACCAAAGCCTAGTTGCTAGTTAGGGGCCATCACGTACAATGGTTGACACCAACCTGATCTCCGTCAAATGGTGCTGTGGATTCCTTTACGTCTCTTTGTTGCTAATGAGAAGTGAAGAGACGACACCTAGACAAGGCACTGAGTGAGTAAAGTAGCCTCATCCTCAGCCATCAGTAAGAATCAAGGGCTTCCTCTCTTTTTGGGAGAATAGGGACGACAGAGTGAAAGACCCTAGCGGCCAAGATGACTGTTAGAAAGGAAGCTCAAAGGAGGAAAAAAGAGTTGCCTGGGGAGGAGGCTTTGGGTGAAGAATCTTGCCTGATCATTCAACATGATCTTGGAATCGAACCCAGGAAAGAAGACCCGAAATTAGATGCTTTAACCATTGGTCCATCAYGTTTCATTTAATTATCACTGAGCATCTGAAGTGCATCTATAATGTWATTTTTTATCATTAATGCGACGTTTAACTGTTCTTGTGGTATGAAAAGATAAGGTTTTGCATACCTTTGCTCTTTGTATCCTGAACCATACACTTATTTCTTCTTTTTGGCTAAACGTTGTGTTGTGCAAATAGGAGCCTTGGATTCAGCATGCTACTGTCAAAGAGAATATCTTGTTTGGTCTGCCATTTGACGTGGAAAAATACAGTGCTGTGATTGATGTTTGTGCATTGGGAGAGGTACTGAAGTCTTTTTAAAAAGATTCCTGTGTTCTTTCATCGAGTGTTCAGCCTTTTTGTGTACAAATTTTTACTTCATCCAGTAAAAGTAATTGATGGTTTTCAACCATTCCCAGGAGAGAAAGTTGAACAAAAGAYGTCCKCCATTGCTGGTGGACCTGACAAAAGAAAACCACCACCGTGACTGGTGGACCTTTTCGTTTTGCTCACTCTCATGRGAATGGTTGAAAACCATCAATATGAAAGAGTTAGGAAAAGAAGGCGCTATACATTTATCAATTGTTCAATCCATGCAGCTTATTGTACAAGGCTGGATCTRCACACCCTTTCTCGACAATAATTATTAGTTTAAGTATGCAAAACTGATGTTTTTCTTGTTGTTTGACTGTCTATTTGATTGGCAAGAATTATTTGTTTGTTTAACGTTTGCTTTTATCGCTTGTCCAGGATTTGTTGATGCTGCCCGCTGGAGACGAAACAGAAGTCGGAGAGAATGGCGTGACACTAAGCGGAGGGCAGARGGCAAGAGTGGCTCTAGCAAGAGCAGTTTATCAGGTATGTGCTGTGGTACTTTATTTTTTAACTTTACAACCTGCTTATTTATTTTCTATTCCAATAGTGCAAGTCCTCTTTATGAAATATTTTGCCTGTAGTACATGATTTTGGTCTTCTACTGCAAGGTTTAATCTACCTTTCCCGTTGGCCCTGTTTTATACCTGGCTGAAAATCAAGAATATAAATCACACATATTGCAATCGAAATTTAGATTAAGAACACCCTATTTATTTTTAAGGACATTCAGGTTTTTTTATTTATAAATCTGTAAAAGCTGAGGACAGTTTTATGGAGTGAGCCAGTCACTGGGGATGGTTAAGTTCAGAGGGTTGTTGGAATTCTCAATAGTTCTTTTACCTCATCCAAATGAACGGTGTGGGGATTTTTTGCGAACAGGACTTTTGCACGTCTAAAAATAAAAGCAGCAACCTTCATTGATGTGGCTTTGTTTGTAATTTGCTCAAAACTTGCTTGCGTTTTTCAGTCATTCTTCAAACTTTACCTTAAAGACTAATGTTCGGGACAGAATTTTTAATCCCCTTTAACTTACCAACTTATCAGTGAGCTAAACAGTAATTAAGCATTTCTATTTTTTTAATACATTTTCATATATTTATCATTTGCCAGGATAAAGATGTATATCTTCTAGACGATCCACTAGCAGCAGTAGATTCGCACGTTGCAGCACACCTATTTCAACACTGTATTCTGGGACTTCTACGTCACAAGACCGTCATCCTTTGCACGCATCACATCAAATACCTCAAAGATGCTGATCATGTGATCGTTATGGATAATGGCATCATTACCCATCAAGGGCCCCCAACTGAAATTCTAACCAAAGAGACGTTGATATCACAATTATCACGTGATAGCATAATCACTGACGATGACTCTGATGCCCAATCAGATTTTGATGAGAAAACACCAGCAGAAGGAGAAGAGGATGGCGGGCTTGTCTCCGAAGAGAAGAAAGACGAGGGTGCGGTCAAACTCCACGTGTACGGATCATACTGGGTTTCTATTGGACATTGCTTAGCTGTCAGTATATTGGTGTCTCTTCTGCTAATGCAAGGTAGGCTGYAACGGAAGTTGTACTCAGACACTGACCATTTGTCTCAAGAAGGGAGAGGGGGTGAGCGATTTTGAAATTAGATTTCCACCACTTCCCGTACGATCCCCTTAAGAAAATTCCAATGGCGATCAAAAAAAATCCCAATCGCGATCAAAAATATAATTCCAATCGCGTTCAAAAATATAATTCCAATCGCGATCAAAAACAAATTTATAATGGCGCACTACTCAATAGACGACGACACCGTGAAGGCCACAGAAATGCTGTGGCTTGACGCCCTGTGATGGCACGAATTCCATTCCATTCGATTCCATTACTCGCGGCACGAATACCATAGTTTTTCACACATACGGAATTCGTTCTATTTCACTTTTTGAATTTCTTTTCGCAGCTTCTCGGAATCTTAGCGACTGGTGGCTAGCATACTGGATATCTCACACAAAAACCCATCATAATACCACCACTCAATACTCAACAACCATCTCTGATGCCGAAATACCAAACAATGTGTTAGGTGGCGTTCACATCGTTAAGGGAACCGTCACATTCTATCTTATTGTGTATGCAGGATTTGCTGTCAGTAACACGGTAAGGAATTGACGTYTCCATCCATCACTAAAGTACAAATAGACCTAATCAGCTTCAACCCAATTCAAACCACCCGGGAGTAAGTTTCATTGTTCGTTGTGTTTTCATTTCACAGTTGAAGTTCTTTTTCCCACAGGATTTGAAATTGGTGGCAACGTACATAGCAACGCCGTTAGCTGATTAGGTCTATTGCGAAGCACTSTAATAGCTAGCGACCAGTTTTCTTATTCTTTTCTTGATTGATAATGGAAGTTTGAAAATATTTATCTTTGAATTCCATTTTTTAGGCCAAAACATATAGGATTCCCAGTATTAATATAATGGTTAAAAGTGACAAAGCGTATTTTTATTTTATTTTTCAGATATTCACTCTGTTTCGTGCGTTTCTGTTCGCCTATGGAGGAGTTAAAGCTGCTCGGGTTCTCCACCATCGACTTCTAACAACAATTTTGGCAGCACCTRTATCATTTTTTGATGTCACACCGGTACACTTATACTAGTACACTTATTATTATTAAAGTGAAGTCAAAAAATTATTGATTGAGTTGTGGTTTTCTTTTGTCTTCCAGATTGGAAGGATAGTCAACAGGTTTTCTTCTGACATGGTAACGTGTGAATCATTATATTAAGGAGGGATTATTAAATAGTCGACAGATGGGTATCATGGGATGCTGAGAGGGAGTGGTCACGTGCAAATTCTTCCTAAAAATCCAATAAGGGAACAAGTTTGACAGCTAAACAGGGGAAAAAATTAGTGCACCTTGGGGGTTACTGAAGTAAGGGAAGTAAAAATGATCCAAAAATCGCTTACAAACGCTTTAAATGGCAAGTGCACTTTATTGCTTTTATTCTAAGCTGCATTTAAAAACTTTGGCGATGAAACGATAATACCAATGTATACTACATACATTCCCTTATACAAATACTCAGACTGCGTTACCGATGTTGATTCAAATGAATTGTTATTAAAATATTCATAATATCAATGGTGTTTTCTTTGCAGTACTCCATTGATGACAGTCTTCCTTTCATCCTCAATATTTTCCTTGCCCAGGCGTACGGCGTGTTAGGAACAATAGTTATAACATGCTATGGTTTGCCGTGGCTGACTATCTTGTTAGTACCACTGGCATTGATTTACTACTACATACAGAACTACTATCGAAAAACKTCAAGGTATGCTATGCATCCTTTGGCATTTAACGGCATATAGAAAGCAAAGCCACTTGTACCAGTGGCGAATCAAGAACGTTGGAAGGGGGATTTAACTAAAGCAAAATATTAAATTTATAGATTTAGGGTTGCGGAATTCTTTTTTTTTTTAGATGAAGACCGGTTTTTGTTGTTGTTGTTGTGGGTAGCCAATCTTATCACTCACCTGGATCTGCCCATGTGTCCATTTATTGTATTCTGACTATCGAATCTTCAGGAMGACGGGATAGAGTGGGTGGAGGCCATTTGTATCCCAGAGCGCTTTTTCATTCATTAATTTATCATTCATTACGCTATTATCTGCTATAAATCTCTTTCTTTTTTATCTTTTGCTATATATTTTTCCTTTGTTTGCAGGGAACTCAAGAGGTTAATGTCGGTGACACTATCCCCGATTTACGCTCATTTCTCAGAGACTCTTACTGGACTGAGCACCATTCGAGCATTGCGTGACATGCATCGATTYCAGTTCTTAAACATGAACAAACTGGAGMTCAACCAGAGAGCGAACTTTTGCGGTATGAATGGCTTTATTTTATGGTCTKTCTGTCGGCTAAATAATTTTTCCTGCACTGATTAGAGCGAGAAAGTTTAAAGAGTTTACATCAGAAAACACATGAATGAAGAGAAAGTCAAGACGAGCASTGCTGTTCAAGAACAATAATTATAGTAAAAATAGGCAGTCTTTTGAAAATATGAGCATTTTGGAGAAAGCTCTGTTACAGTCAAATTCTGAGATGAGGGATGTTTGTTAGATGTTCGTGAGATATTTTTTTCTGAGATCTCAGAAATCGTTTCGTTAGTATTCAAACTTGCAGTCTTGCGTTCTATGACAACGCCTCTTATCAATCAATCACCTATTCGCCCGTCCCTCATTGAGAGACATTTAGCAGTCATTCTACTTGAATGATGCTCAAGCATTGTTAGTTAAACTGTTTTCCTTTCGCCTTTTTTTCTTCAATTTTGTAACAGCAATGGCTGCYTCACAGTGGTTGAGCCTGCGATTACAGTTCCTCGGTGTTGCTATGGTAACAGGGGTAGCATTCATAGCGGTTTTAGAACACCATTTCAGTTTTGGATCTGTTGATCCAGGTATGTAAGCTTTGCTACACATTTTTATTGCACGTGATCCAAGCGTGTTTTTCAAAAATGTTTTCTCTACTAATAACTACTGACAAGTGTAATTCGAACGGACTCCAAGGAACCCAAGGGACTTGAGTCTGGGAGAGAGTAGACTTACTCTTTCACTTGGTGTCTCACAGTCGGTTACTTTCCCGCTATTACGTTATTCCAAGGTGCTGCCACCGAAGGAAAGATATGCGAGAGAAACAAACATAACTCTTCGCCTCATCAATATTTATAATCTCAGGCCCATATATAAGTTTTAAATTCTTACGAATATGGCGACATCTCCGCTARAGATCCCTCTACAAACTAAAGCGCAGGAACTTGAACAGTGAAACAGTGAAATTTCATTATGTCACTTCTGTTTTTTGTGTGATCACAGGTCTTGTTGGGCTAGCTATATCTTACGCGCTATCAGTGACAGACCGTCTCTCAGGGATGGTGACGTCATTCACTGAGACCGAGAAACAAATGGTCAGCGTCGAACGGGCTGTCGAGTACATCGAGGACATCCCGTGTGAGCGATCGGGACATACTAAGGTATTTAATGTGAAATGTCAAAARSAGAAATRTTTTGAACACRATGTCGGAGCTGCGTCCAGARWACCTATGCTMTCGTGCTGGGCATAGCATCTTGTGTGTYCARTGGCTTGGACGAGTAAAATTTTAAAATACTTTTTATATCTTATTCGCCAACAGATCTCTCCATTCTGGCCAAGCATAGGGCAACTTACCTTCCATAATGTTGTTTTAGTGTACAGGTAGGTGTTAAAAAGTCAATTTTCGGTATAGCTAGATCAAGATCAGATGCAGCATTGATTCTCTTTGTAAAGCGAGCTTTTGTTTAATTGCAGACGTGGTCTTCCACCAGCTTTACGTAATGTTTCATTTCAAATTAAAGGAGGAGAGAAGGTAAATGTTGTTAACCGAGGAAAAATTCTTTATTCAAAAAACGAAAAATCCAGTGCTTTGTGTCAAACACCCTGTATGCCAGTATATTAATTCGAGCGACGCCTCTAATATGAAGAAAGTTTTTCGGTTGACAATATCTTTAAACAAATTACGATAGTTTCGTGTGGTACACCACATACCACAAGAAACTATCGTTCATTTTTATTTTTTTTTTACAAATAGTTGTTTTACCAGTTCTGCGCGCGTTTTACAAGCTAAAAGAACAACTGAAATCTCATTTCAAACTGAACCAAAACATTTATTTCAACAAATCATGGTACATACTTTTTTCGCTTTTTGATTGGTTAAGTAAAATGTAAGCTGTTCTCTTATTGGTCTACATCTGTAATTGCAAGCAAAGTAGCGACCGTGGTATATACTAGTTTTATTTACCACGGCTCTCGACCAATCAGGTAGCGAGAAAATTATCATGTTAAAATGTTATTAACGTATTTCAAGTACAATGTTATTTTTAAAGATATGTTTATCTTTGACTTTCGTCAAAACATTTCTTTATATAAGCAGTAACAGAGCTACAATCTTATGCAAAATATACGGAACACCCCTACCACCTTTTTTCCATTGCAAGGTTGTACACACTCTTTTTTCTCATCCTCGGCGATTTCGTAGCAATTCATTGACGAACATCATTGCAAAAGGAGAAAGGAGTTTGCAGAAACACAATTATATTCGGTGTTTCACACAATTTTTTAAAAAATTTGTTAGCTGAGGCTTGACAATCAAAGAATCTAGCGCAATTGGCCGATAGTTTTAACTTGATTAAAAGCCTTGTCCATTACAGGAAGTAGCCGGTAATAATTTTTGCGGGCAAAGTAATTTCGTGTCCACATGTGCCCATAGTCGAAAAGTTTCCGAATACGCATGCTCACGGCCTGTAGTTTTTAGTGTAACTGAATATTTTTGGTTAGAAAATACTCCAGCTTTTTGTAAAAAGGCATTAGTTCTGTCTTGACATGAAATGAAACTTAGTATAACAACCAATCACTGATCACGTACTATATGAATTGTTATATATTGCGATCGTGCCTTTCAGACACCCCGTTATTACGGACACCCCGTTATTACGAACACTTAAGTGAAACCCCTCTTAATACTCCAGTTTCGAATTCATAGCGAATAACCGCTGCTTTATTTGACAACAGATTCTCTTGCGCAAAGACCTTACAAACACAAAAGAGAGCACGAGAAAATGTCGTTATTACAATAGACTTGAAAATTTGCATTTTCCCCGAGTTGAGATTAACCCTGTATTCCCATAAGACCTAAGGTATGAGCAGGGTTAGCCTCAACTCGGGGAAAATGTAGATTCTTAGCGCTATTGTATTACCAACATTTTCTCGTGCTTTCTTTTGTCTTTGGTAAGTTCTTTGCGTAATAGAATCTGCTGTCAAGTAAAACAGCGGTCATTCGCTTTGAATTCGAAACTGGAGTATTGGAATTACTGAATATAACTCAATTTACAGATTGCATTCGCTATTGAGCACACTTGTAGTTGCGAATAAAATGAGAGTTCTAACCATCTGTAGCTGATTTTTAGGTCGGTATTGTTGGTCGTACGGGTTCTGGTAAGTCAAGTCTTTTCCTGGTTTTGTTTCGTATGGTCAACCTACAAGAAGGTATTGTGGTCGTTGATGGTGTATCGGTAGCTTCCCTTCCTCTCTCGTATAGGTAGGTTAAGGTTATTTCGCATGACTCCAAAAAAAAAAGTTATTAGTGAAATAAGGGTTGTAAATCTTCACAAAAGCACCGCATAGCCGCCATTTTGAAAACATTCGTCTAATTCATCTGTCACTTCTCGAAGTTGTGCCATCCCGATTTAGACCCTCCCTCCCCACCCCCAATAAAATTTATGCTCGCCGGTGCCTGTCATAGTTATTTGCTGATATCGCACCCTCAGCCCTTCTTCTTACACTGTTTCTCGCAGCAACTTAACTTGCARCGCCGCTGTGCAATTTTCGCAAACAGTAGAGGAGTCACAGTAGAGGAGTCCTCCTCTACTAACTCTGGTTTGGCCGATGTAAGCTGGGATACAGAATATGGCGGATAGTGGAAACGATAAATTACACAATCACTCGCAGAGTATGTGACTCGAAAATTACGAGATAAGCTGCTTGAGGAGTGATACACTGTGTAATGGTGTTGCTGCAATAAGTTGCGAAAAGTAGACTTTGGAACGGAAAGTGTTGTTGGATGACCTCTGCTACACTGTACATTGCTTCAGCATTTTGTGTTGCAGCTGTTTTGCGAGGAAAGTTGCTGTGCAAATTGTATTAAATCATTCATTTTTTTTTTCGCAGATCTCGTTTAGCGATCATTCCACAAGATCCGTTCCTGTTCAGTGGTTCTGTTCGCTCGAACGTTGATCCATGGGCACAGGTACATTAGATGGCCTGTACATACAGATTTTTCAATCGATCGTATGGAAGTAGAATGTTTAATGAAAATTGTCGAAAAGAGATATAATAAGTGAAGGGAACTTGAGCTTCATCATTTAGTTAAAGAATCCCAACCCAACCACAATACAGCTCGCGCTCGTGTTTTGTTTACATACGTTTAAACGCCTCAGGCATCCAATAGATTTTAGATTGATAGATAGTATCTGTGAGGTACTTAGTTAAAGGTGGTATTTTTGTCAAACCGGAAATGATGGAAGACGATTCGCTGACAATTTAAGAATCCTAGGAATCCGCCATTTTCGTGTCCACCTAAAATGGTGCTTCGGCTCGCAAGGTATGGCGGTTGGTTGTGATTGTTTTTAAATATGATTCGGTGTATTTTAGAATTAAGATGGTCATTGTCAACTGGCATTTMATGTGGTCTTGTTTTTATTATTATAAGAAATGTGGTGACTTAAAATATCAATTCTCAATTTGTCTCCATCTGTCAGTTTTAAGATCAAATTTTACAATTCCTAGAAAATAAGAGATAATAAGTTTTTGCATATATCACGATGCATTTTTATTTCTAAACAAAGTAAAAGTTCGTGATGGAATGCCGGTTAGTCTAACCACGGCCCTTAATAGCCAATTTGCGAGTTTTATCTCAGTAGTCAAACACAAAAGAATCAAGACGAGGCGCCGCGTGCGTAAATCTCAGTCAATTGTCAAAAACCATCGTCTTTTCACGAATGACTGAGCTTTATGCACGGCGCCYCGTCTTGATTCCTTTGTGTGTGACAACTGAGGCAAAATTCGCAAGTCAGCTTTTGCATATTTCTTCGATGAACAAAAATCGACAATTATAATAAAGTAATAGATTTCTAATGCAGACATGTCCGCTGTGTGTTAGGTCGAACGAGGCGACACAATTTAATTTGTGTTGATTCGTGTTTTTAGTACTCTGATGWTGAAGTATGGTCGATCTTACAACGATGTCATATCAACACTGCTGTCAGAGATTTGGGTTAGTAGTGTGCCATTTGACTTCGTACCAACTTTAGAGGTTTACGAACTCTGGGYAGGGGACTCCCAAATATAGAAGGTTTAATGTGGTATATACACGACTTTCAAAAATGGCGGTCGGGGGACTAGTGACGAATCATGGAAACGAGACCTCAAAAGCCTTACATCTAGAAATTACTACGAAGATTGCATGTAGTAAGTGTCCAAAAGAAAGATGTATTGATATGTTATTTATAAAAAACACTCTTGCAAGACACCGTCGTAGGTTACGATACGGAGGCTGGCCTTTGAGACCTCGTTTTAGTGCTTCGTCCTCAGTGCCCTGGTCGACGACCGTGACATATGCGCCGTTTTTGAAAGTTGTGAATTTTAAATACAATTTTTGCAAGCAAAAAGATATTTTATGTTTGAGAATGGCGTTACATTGCATTTATTCTTCCTGCAATAATATGCGTGACGTATGACGTAATCACGTACTTTTCCAGCACGTGCAGTTTAGGGGACTGGTTACCATCTATGATACGGCATTTTCAGTTATTCAAGGCAGCTTACATGCAATGACGGATTTCTTGAACCAGCTTGAAATTTAAGATAATCAACATTGTACRTAAAGATAACAACGTCAGTCAACTGAGTCATTTTCATTGGCTCACTGTTTAATCGCGTTTAATCAACAAACATTTTTAGTTGGTATCTTTTAGTGAAAATCATTGTGCCGTCACGCCCTTTTTCATAAGAGGCTGGTATCTTTTTTTTTATTCCCAACAATCACCCTCACCTTAAATAAGAGGGAGTCCTCTCCCCTGGGTACAAACCCATTTCAACGCGTTATGAAATTCTTGCTGAGTGTATAATGTGGCAATTCTATGGATGATTTTGATAAATTTGAAGCGACAACGCACTGTTATCCTTTTATTAATTTTTGATTTTGAAATTTCCAGTGAACAATTTTATGGAAGAAATTACTATTTCTGACTATTTCATACCGTTTGAAAAGTGAGCTACAAAATATTATAATGTATTTCAGTTGATCAATTTCATTGTGCTCAATTGACTGATATCATACCGTGGTAAGCAGGGTACAAGTCCCTTAATTCGCACAATGATGAGATAACACTTATATAGAGCGGATTTCGTATGACGGTGCAACGGCACGGATYACAACACGGAAACGGCACGGCACGGTCACGGAACCTCGCCTTCTAGGATTCCAAATGAAAATAAAGATGTAACAATACATCACCGCTACGGAACGGTACGGACACAGCACGAACGTACCGTGTTTTTTGCACAGCCATACAAAATCCGCTCTAGAACGAAAGATCACCTTGCAGATAACACATTCACAAAGTTTGAACGATTGACAGCTTTTTCAAAATTATAGATTTTACAAAGAAATGTACGCTGAGTCTAGCATCCTACACATTTAAATTCAGCTACTGCAATCTGATTGGCTAAAAGAGCGATTAAGGCGGTATGATACCCAAGATTACAATAATTTCAAGGAAAAGACTTAGCCATTTTATTATTTCACATATCATTATCCTTATTGAGACAAATCATTTGATACCAATTTTAGCACTTGTTGTTGCTATGGCAGCCAAGCCACAAAAACTGTCTTAGATTTAAGAATAACGGAAACAAAATTATTATTTCTTAGCATTCAAACGGTGTATTTGGTGTGTTTCAGGAGGACTGGACGYCACTGTTGGAGAGCGTGGTCGTAATTTCTCAGTTGGTCAGCGGCAACTGGTTTGTCTTGCGAGAGCACTTTTATCTCGTGCAAAGGTAAAATTCAGTTTCAGTAGTAATATTCGTATAGTATAACTATGGGATAAGCCAATACTCCATTTTCGAGTTCAAAGCGAATAACTGCTGTTTTATTTRACAGCAGATTCTCTTCCCCAAAGACATTACAAAGTACAAAAGAAAGCACGAGAAAATATTGTTAGAGTACAAACACTAAAACTGTGCAACATAAATACCACTAAATACTGCTAAATTATGCAAATTCTATTGTTTTCTATTGTTTAATTAACACTATTTTGTAGTAAATAGTGGAAAGTGTTGAACACATTTAATGTTTTTTTTTAATTTACATTTTCCCCGAGTTGAGGCTAACCCTGTAAACCCAGAAGGCTTTAAAMCTTAAGTCTCTGGGAATACAGGCTTTGTCTCAACTCGGAGAAATTGCAAATTTTCAAGGCTATTTTAAGAASAACATTTTCTCTTGCTTTCTTTAGTTTGCTGTAAGTTCTTTGCGCAAGAAAATGTTGTCAAATAAATCAGMGGTTGCTTCGCTTGGAATTCGAAAATGGAGGTCTTGAAGACAAAATCTCTTCTAAATCCTTTTAAATTCAAAAAGCTATTGTTTTTCATCCTTACCAGACTTATAAGGCCGGAATGATACGATATATATATATATATATATTTTTTTTTGTAGATCCTCTGCATAGACGAAGCCACGGCAAGTGTTGACATGGACACGGACGAGCTGATCCAACAAACTATTCGTGATGAATTTAGAAACAGCACAGTTTTGACTATTGCACACAGGTTAGTTAAAGTGCACATGACACCATTAGAAATTCATTCTCATCCAAAAGAAAAAATGCTGCTAAGTACATCTGTGAAGAAAGAAATTGATTTTAAATTGTATTTTCTAAGTTATGGGCAATTGAAACTTAGAAAATGCAAATTAAGTGACGTCTACTAAGGAATGATTTAAAATACAAAATCATGAAAGAGGACGTTATTCTTTTTGTTACACTGGAAAAAGCATTTTCAGCTCTCAATTATTACTATGATTAATGATTTGAGCTCTTCAACCAAGAACAGAATAGCGAAAACAATGTAAAAAGTCTGGATCAATTCCTTAGTTGACGTCACTTCATTTGCATTTTCAATTTTCAAATGTCTTTAACTCAGAAATCAATTTCTTCCTTCACAGAAATGCTTGGCAGCGTGTTACCTTTCGGATAAAAGGTGTCATGTGCACTTTAATAATCCGTGTAAACATATACGTGGCATATTGACGCGCTTTTTATTCCAACTTGCAGATGACAAAAACATTTATTCCTCCTATAAATTTACTTTACCTCGTAAAAAAAAAGGACAAAATAGCCTGAATATACGCGAAACCGATCACTTCGCCACGCAATCACTACGTCATGCATTTTTCGTTCTGAGTCAAGTAGATCTATTTTTAAAACTCATGGGTTCCCACGTTGCGCTCCGAAAAGTCACACGCTTGAAAGAGTCGTTAATAGTTGTCTCTCTGAAGCAATCCTATCTTCTCATCAATAATTCATATTTTCACATCTATTTATAGGATTGAAACAATTATGGACAGTGACCGTGTGTTGGTGATGGATAAAGGGACTGTGGCCGAGCTTGATCGACCAGATGCTCTCTTAGCCAATAGAAATTCGTTATTTTTTTCCCTTGTACATGGYACATAAKGACTTATAACCCCATTTTGAACTTTGGTTGACTAATCACGTGATCCTAGGGAAACACTAGAATATCCTTTTGTGTCTTGTGTTCCTAGGATTATCCAGCATTTTTAAGCGCGGMTTTTCGACCAAAATATTGAAAGTGGGATATAAATGTTTAATTTGAATGCCTTTTAAAGGTAAACTACGGAACGGAAGTAATATTCAGAAGATGTCAAAATAGGTGCGAAAAACAAACGTTGTGCATTTCATCATGTTATTKTACAGAAGGCTATATTAAATAAGCGCAAGTTTTAGAGATTAAAACCACCCAGCACTCATTTTCTATCCTCCAGGCACCCACTCGCTGGATATGTCTCTCAAGAGTGAAAATATCCCTTGAACGTGCGACTGGTATTGTATTTAAAAATGCTTGGCAGAAGAGAAAAGAAGAAAAGAAGAAAATAGCTCTTACCCCTGTTCTAGAAATAACGTCGACCCCCCCCCCCCCCCCCCCCCCCCCCCTGCCCCAACTTTTAACCTTAGTCATTAAACAAGCACAAGCGAGTCGCGCGATCTGTAGCAACCCAAAATTCACTAAAGATGAACCCAGATGCAAGAGATGGCTTACTCATCTCGATCTAAGTGTAAAGACACTGACAAGCAAATGTGGTGCCCTTGCTTCTTTCAAATAATTGTGTTCCTGGCAAAAGTTTTCAAGGTCCAAAAAAGGCTTATGTAACATTTTTATGGTCAAAAAYGACTTTTTAACGATATTACTTGTGGTTGTTATGTCTAATAAATCATCAATATGTTTTTCAGCTTCTACATCTTCACGTGACAAAATTGAAAAAATCAATAGTTCAAAAAAAATTCATATCTTAAATTTCAATCACACATCAACGAGTCTTTGAAATTAGTCTTCCATTAGTCAGGCGCGTAGCGCGGACTTTTTATGCACATGTCAGGGACTACGACATATATTTTGGATCTGGGGGTCTAACGAACGCCAAAGGCAGGAGTATTAAGGGAGTCTGGTCCTCCCCCAGAAAATAAAAAAAACTTGAAAGAAATAACTCTCCAGCATTTTGAGAGACATCGAAAATTTTGAAAGAAACTTTGAAGTTAAGGCCTCCCGTCTGTTAATTAGGTACTTTTACTTTGAGCCCTCCCTATCTTGCCATCAATTTTATGTAATGCCACCACTCTGGTTTTACGCCCAAAATATACCGGTATGCCTGTGGAATCACTCTTAGCGTGTTTCCTATGCACCAGATGCTTAAAGCATTTATACCTAGGATCTTTCTTTTTATGCAACTTGTCCCTTTTTCATGAGGCGCTTAAGGCTTCGGTTTACATACGGGAGCCGGTTTTTGCCCAAGACATAATAAGATGGTATAAATTTCTTGATACCCTCTTGCAGTTTCTCCAGGAACAGGGACCACAGTTGATTGGTGGAAAGCGTTTTGTCGCCATAGTACTTGCTCAAGAACATACCCTGAGATAGTGACATGTGAGCTCGGAAACCGTCTCAATTTGCCTTTTTATACAGGTAGATGTGCCTTGGTCTCTGAAAAAGRACGGGTAGTTCTGATGTCGGCCTCCTCTATGTCGTGGTCAYTAAGCCCAGGGATAACTTGGACCTTGTTGATCAGAGTTTCATTGTTCGTGATAAAGAGGTCAAGGATATTTTCCTCTCTTGTTGGTTTATTTACAATATGGGTAAGTGAGTGATCTTCCAAGGCATCCGTAAATTGTGATGTTAACTGTACGTGGATAACGGCAGTTCGACTTAATATGATTGGATYCCCAATTATACCCAGGAAAGTTCATATCACCAGCAATCCAGATATTATGTGGGTTTCTTTCACCAAGCTTGTTAARAGAGATAAAGACGTCATTCTTATACTGCTTGCCATTGGATGTTTATTTTTAAGCTATGTTCGGCTATCAATCGGGGTTTGTTCGTCCAGATTCGACCGTTATTTTGAATGCGTCCAATTTTCCGAAGAGATTGATGTCCGTTTTATTGATCAAAAGGCCTTATTAATACTGCTTCAAATTCACGTCAGTTGTCTTTTCGTGTGGTCTTTATCTCATGCCAATGCTTTTGAGAAGRCAGCCGAAGGTGTAAGTAATCAAACCCGCCCGATATATTTAGTGTATTTTAGCGAAAGCGTTGGTGTTTKGAAAGTCTTCTACTCGGCGCTTTAATCTACAGCCGCATTCTTTTCTTAACAATGTAATGTTGAATCGACCAAGAATCGAATAATGAACTGAATAATGGTGTTTTTGAGGGGGCGCACATAATKCCTTTTGACTGCATAACAGCGAAATATACAGCAATGAGTTTGGTTTTGTAGTGAMAAAAGTTCAGTAAGTTGTKTTCTGTCATTGACCTCGGTTTGTGGGAAGTATCCAAAATAGTAGATCCATTGCAAAAYGGCTTAACATTCGTTTTACATGCAAAAATTGGAGCACACGAGCTTCGCCTGGCCAGCAGCCTTTGTCTTCAAAGTTGACCATTGTACAATATCCCCCTCAATAGTYGGGCATGTCATGGCCAGGGCTGACACTTCTCCTGAAGTGAAATCTCTACTCCAAAGGTTTACACTSGYTATATTTCCCTTCAGGGCCTGGGCGCTGTCRAAATCACCCCTGTAGACGTCTTGGTCTTGGCCAAGCACAAACACACCCTTGCTGATCACTTCCCCTTGCTTTGTGATCCGTGAGCTTCGTAATACGCCATCTATGTACAGCTTTGCGTTGCCATTTGTGTTTTCCCAAGTAAGGCTGATATGATGCCAATTGCCGTCAACAACGTAATTAATGTCATAATGGGAGCTAAAATATAAAAATAGCTGTGTGAAGTATTAACCCCCATTGCAGACGTTTTTTAAGAGCGTATGTCAGTAGCCGGCAAGAACAGACAGTTCGAAAAATCGAATTTCAGTTATTTTACCAAAAGTACCCCTATGGGCATGGATTTCAGAAACTGTGATCGAAAAGTCAATAAAAATGTCAATTTTTCCCTCATTAATATGCAAGAAAATTGAAACTTATTCAGTTATCGCTGGAACGTCTAAAAAGTAATCGATCAAAACCATATTTCGCATGAATGTAACTTGATATCATACTTTTAATTCTGGCTTTTCAATTATTTTTCGAGACGTTGTCTTGACTCTCAAAAGTGTCAATATTTAACAGTATTTCACATTTGYTATTAAATCGTGTTACGAACTTTTATTCGACYCCTATGTCGCTGCTGGCACCTAACATATCAAAACAAAACTTTTTTCAGTTTTTACTATTAATAATACCATGAAGGTATTTTACATTTTAGGTGAAGAAAACATGTTGAAATTTGCCATTATTGTCGTCGATTTTCGATCCGCCATTAACCGGCAGCCATTTTGGAAGATGAAGGCCGTTAGGGGCTGGTATCGARTTTTRAYRTCATATGCTTAACACGAGTGAATTTGTCAACATGAACTACTGTGTGAATCCAATGTGAATCGAATGTTGTTTTCGAAATATTGCAATGTTTTTGGCACAAACTGATATCTTGCGTTACTATAAACATACTAATGGTCTATCACTCATACTGCRCTGTGATTGGCTACTCTACTAATGGTCTAATTTGTGATAGACCACTCGCGGGAAAATTAAAATGGCGGCATCTCATTAATAAATTATTTTAAGGATTTAATCTGTTTTCATTATTTGACCGATAAGTATGTTTATACTAAAACAATTAGACCTCTCGGCCTCGTGGACTTCGAGCTAATAGCCCATTCGGCCTCGCGGACTTGGCCTCATGGGCTATTAGCTCGTAGTCCACTCGACCTCGAGGTCTAATTGTTAATTATTAGCTGTRTTGAACATTTATCACTGACTCCATACGTATATTCTATCTGATGTTACAGCTCAGTTTTCTGTTTGTGAATGAGACGTGGCTGTCTGACAAGTTTTGTTGTCAAAAGCACAACAAGCAAACAAGGGTGAAGGTTTCATTGCTAAATAATTATTTTTGAGATATCAAGATACACCTACTTGCGAAAACGTTGTCATAAAAAATAGGACATTTGTATTTTAGTAAAAAGGAATAAATTAAAAAGACAACAGAAGATCACTGAGGCTGAACGCTTTCTTTTCTTTTGTTTTAATTTATTCCTTTTTATTATATAAACTGTAGTGAGATACAAGGATTTCCAACACTGAGAAAAATCGATCGTATTTATCTGACACATGTGTAATAAAAATGGTATTACATGGGTATGACGTGGAGAGATTATTAGCCAATCGCTGATCAACATTTGATCATATGACAAAGTTTCGCGACACTGTCGACGCGCGTACGCGTTGTTTTGCTTTGACAAAGAAAGTCGACATCAAGTTAAGTATCTGCTAAAAACAACAAAAAAGCCTCGTGTTTAAAATGGATTCAAAGGAAGAGATCAGAAACCTGAACAGATTTGAAGAAATATAGGATCATGACANTGCCATGAAAAGCAAACAAAGACAATTTGAAAAGCTTTTGTTTCAGAAAGCCGTTCGGGAATTGGAAAACAACAAACGGTGCTTCTTTATTCAAAATTATGAAAACTGAAAACCTTGGTGGAGATGCAATAAATCAATATATTTCTGTTATATGTATTTCCTTCGCTTTTTTCCCCTCCCGAATAATTAATGAGTATGAGAAGTCGTTCAAAGTCCTCCAATTCGGACTGGACGGGATTTCAAGTCCTTGCAATTAGTTCCAGTCCTCGGCTAAGGCCTCGGACTGGAACTAATTGCCCGGACTTGAAACCCCGTCCAGTCCTCATTGTCGGACTTTAAACATTACGTCAATTACTTATCTAGCTAGAGTACAAACACTAAAACTGTGCAACAAAAATACCACTAAATTATGCTAATTCTATTGTTTTCTATTGTTTAATTAACACTATTTTGTAGTAAATAGTGGAAAGTGTTGCACACATTTAATGTTTGTACTCTAGCAAGTGACATGCATAAAACTTCAACTGTGTACGTACACACACATTTTGAAAATATAAGATCATCTCTGGAAATCCTTTTAATGATAATAATTTTATGAAAAGAATATCGTAGACAAGCTCCTAAATTAAATTGTATTGTAGAAAAAGTCGAAAAGGAGAGAACATAAAACATGTATCTATAGGAATCTATTTCATTTGCCAGTTAAATGGTTTCGAAAGAGCTTTTTCTGATATCGCTTGGATTGCTCCAAGGAACATCTGTGCCAAGTTTGATGCTTGTACGCCAAAATGCACATAAAAATTGCTAAGCCACCCCACTTGGATAGATATCTTAACTTACACCGGCATAAATATGTGAGATTAAACAGACTTTACTTTTAACAAATAGTTGTTATACTTGTTATTTGATCATTCACATATAACATTTTAGTAGCAGACGGAATATTAGGCATGGACTTTCTAGGACATCATCAGTGTGAGCTCCTGCGAAATAGGAACGGCTATGCATTTAGCTTGTCGGGAACACGTGTACCTTGTCACTCSTCACGAGACGGCTTAGCGTGTCGTCGTATCGCGTTATGTGAACCGTTTTGCCTCCCCGTTTGGAGTCAATGGTGACAGCACACTTTGTTGATCGTAAGGCTACAGAAGAGTTGGAGATCATAGAAGCTACGGGCAAATTCCAGGAACGCCACAAACTAATGTTGGCAAGGTCCCTAGTTCACCTCAATCGGAAGCAAGTCCCGCTATGTTTACTTARCAAAACGGATTCGACAAAAACTGTGTACAAGGACTCGATTGCAGCGACTTGTTAACCAGCCCAGTGCATTGACTAAGACAACTTACTGCGTTAAGCCCCGGGCTATCGATTCGGAGGCCTCTTTAGAAACCATCCCAGACCACCTAACAGATGTCTACACGAGAAGTTGCCAAAACCTCGATGAAAAACAGTAAAGGGATGTGAGCTCACTCCTGAAGGACTTCAGTGATGTTTTTTCCTCAACCACGGAGGATATTGGTCGCACGAACATTGTCACTCATAGATTCAACACTGGTGATTCCYTGCCTATAAAACAACAAGCAAGACGTCTACCTCTGCATAAGAGACAGGAAGCACAGAAAGAGGTGACCAAAATGCTACAGAGGAGCGAGCCTTCCTGTAGCCCATGGGCCTCCCCAATAGTATTAGTCAAGAAGCCTGATGGATCCAATCGTATCTGTTTGGACTATCGTAAACTTAACACAGTTATCATAAAGGATTCACATCCACKTCCTCGCATCGATACTCTGGATGCTCCTGTAGGATCTCGCTGGTTTTCCACCTTAGATCTCTCCAGTGGATACTGGCAAGTGGACGTAGCGGAGGAGGACCGTCCCAAGACAGCTTTCACTACCGGCGCAGGTGGGCTGTATCAGTTCAAGGTGATGCCCTTCGGTTTGTGCAACGCGCCGGCTACCTTCGAGCGTCTTATGGAACAGGTCCTTCTTGCCCTGCCATTAGAGATCCTACTTATTTACTTAGACGACGTGATTGTTTATGCTAAAACCTTTGAAGAGATGCTTGCTCGAAGCAAGAGAAGAACCTAGAGTTACCAATGGTTATTGAAGGATCTGTGTAAAGAACAAAGGGCAGATGAGGCTATTGGAACAATAATCCAACTAAAGGAAAAGAATGAAAGCAGTCCTAACTGGTGTGGCATTTCTAGCAAGAACCCTTCTGTTAAATCGTACTGGGCCCAATGGGATAGACTGCTACTTAAGGATAGCGTACTATACAGACAATGGGAGTCCGAGACACAAGACATCTCTCTACAATTGGTGCTACCACCACCTTACAGGCAAGAAGTTTTAAAACATTTACATAACACTCTRGTCATCTCGGTTCTAAGAAGACATTTGAAAATTTAAGGACCGCTTTTACTGGGCAGGGTACTCCCAAGACGTTCGTTGATGTTGTCAGCGCTGTGACACCTGCTCGAAGCGAGCTGGACCCCCRGGGAAGCCTAAAGCTGGAATGAAAACGTACAATGTTGGTGCACCKTTCGAAAGGATTGCAGTAGATATCACARGGCCGCTTTCGGAGTCAGATCGAGGGAACAAGTACATTCTGGTCATTAGTGACTATTTTACAAAGTGGACAGAGGCATACGCAATCCCAAATCAAGAGGCAGTAACAGTAGCTCGTGTTCTGACAGAAGAATTTATCTCTCGTTATGGGGTCCCTATGGAAATTCACTCCGACCAGGGGCGCAATTTCGAGTCTTCCCTTTTCAAGGAGGTTTTRAACATTCTTGSTTWAGACAAAACAAGAACAACTCCTCTTAGGCCCCAATCTGATGGAATGGTAGAGAGGCTCAACCGTACCCTAAAGAACATGCTTTCAAAGTTTGTCAAGGACAATGTAAGTGACTGGGATTGCCACTTGCTAATGATGGCTTACCGCTCATCTGTACATGAGACAACTGGTTRTTCCCCAAGCGAGTTAATGTTCGGTAGAGAAATCCGACTYCCCGTAGATCTCATGTTTGGTGSTCCAGAGTCAGGAAAMGATCTTACSAACACTTGCGACTATGCACGTTCCTTGCAGGATAAGATCCGTAAGGTGCATGGCTACGCAAGAGAACACTTGACAATAGAAAGCGACAGGCAGAAGARAAAGTACAACCAACGACTTAACCAAAAAAMCTATGATCGAGGAGCACCAGTTTGGTTTTACAACCCGAAGAGGAGGAAGGGAGTTTCACCTTGCTTACAGCTTCCGTGGGAAGGCCCGTACCTTGTCCTGAAGAGGATCAGTGATGTTGTGTACAAGATCCAGAAGAGTCCTCGATCCAAATCAAGAAT